ACATGTGGAGGTTTATTCATTGCAGTTTAGGAGATAAGCCTATTTTATGGGAAAGCGTTACATTGGCAGGGTTACCTTGACAATCAGCTTCACTTTGCCATCTGATCAGCTGAGGAGCCTCTCCAAAATAAATCCTCCGTTGTTTGAGTGTCAAGATTTAATTAGGTTGCGAAATGTGTTGTGGAAATATGGATGCCGGCACACAGCATGAGTTTTTAAAAAAAGAAAAAGAAGGACGTCTGGGAAGAGTGTTTAGTTCAGACAACATGTGAAGTTTTCATGCCATCTGTGCGTCAGTTTCATTCTCTCTAGTGGAAATATAACAGGAGTGAGCACTCAGCTGAAGAGGACATTATGGTATCTGACAGTATGAAGGCTGCATGGAGCAAAGCAGCAATGCCTTATTATTTAAAGTTATAGAGTGAAGTTTATATTTAAAAATACAAAACCCCATCTCGCATCTCTACATGTTGAGTTGACATTTTTGGATATTTCTTGAGATGAAAAATAGACTTTGAAACACTTAACACATAAAAAAGTTACTGCATTGATAAATAATTAATTGTACTGTATATCTTTTTCAGTGTGTTCTGATTGGTTAGCCAGCTCTGTTATGATGGTCAACTGCTTAGAGATCTCCCGCCCCTTAGCCTATCACGTACAATGTGTTGGAGCGCTAGCCCATAGAAGCACGATTCTTACATAGTGATGTCATTATGTTACGGAAGTAAACAAGAGAAAGTCTCTCTTGAGGGAACTTGGGAACTGCAGATTATTTAGATACACTAAAACCTACAACACGCTCCAGGAAAGGGAAAACTCCAAAAAGCATAATAAGGCCTCTTTAAACCTGCAGAGGAGACGCTAGAAGAAGTATCAGCCATACCCCACCTTTTTTCCACCACGTTACTTAACCAGGATTAAGTTATTTTGCCATCATGCATGTTATTGTTTGCTCTCCTGTAATCCTTTTTTCTGCAAATGAATGCTCAGCCACATCTGGTGCATGTTTCTGGCAATTAGGCCCGTAGGGGAACGCGGCATTCCTTCATGCCCTCAGAGGGCCTCTGTAAATGTGTTTGCAATCTCCCTCTTCCTGAATTTGGTCGTCATTGGCATTCGCCCGCTGTGTCTGTTTAGGTAAAACGCCCTGAGTACAAGCCCATCCCTCTGCAGAGCTTTGACTGAAAAGCCCCAAACAGCGTGCTGATTACCTCCGGGTGGGGTTGTAGCGCTGCCAAGAACTCAACCCAGGAAAACAACTCAGCGCTCTGCAATTCAGAGCGCCTCATCTCAGCGGATGTGTTCAACAAGTGAACATTGAGTGGACGATTATTCCCACAGCACAGCCTGAATCTCAGCGGCTGAGCATGTCTATATCTGTGTGTTCGCCATGCCTTTTTCTGATATAGAAAAATGATATATCCAAGATACATCATGACCAAATTGCTGCATTTAGCTAAAGTATGCAAGGTGAAAAGAGTAGAATAAATCGGTATTCGTGCTCAGGGAACTCATGTACGCCCTCGTTTGCATTAGCATGTAAGCATGTAACAGATTCACTTTAAACCTTCTGCTTTCCCCTCACACCATCAGCACCACCCTCTGGTATAAACCATTACATTCTCCAACGGCTGCTTTCGCTTCCTTTAAAAACCATTCTCTCAGGATTCATTCACCACCGATGGCTGCTCCACAAGTCCCGAGGCTTGCGAGGTGCACTTTATAAACACAGGTCATTTGTCAAGTGAAAGACATTAAAGTGTAAAAGCCCCAGGTATTAAGACCGCAGAGCACGAGCTGATCTATCTACCGTCACCTCGGCTGGAGAAATGCTGAGCCTGCAGCGGGGGCCGGTTCTCCGCCTCACTGTGTGATGGACCTGTTTTACAGCTAACAAGTGGACACGCTGAACTCTGCAGCTTCTGCTCCCCTCTGGGCTCACAGCTATTACAGTACATGACACCTGGAGACCTGACACCATATTCCTTTTCACACTACACTGACTCAATATCCGGCAAAGGCCACGCTCCGTTTTGGTTGGAGTCGCAGAGGACGGTCAGGCGGGATTTTTCTGTGTTGTTGTTGTTCTGATGCTCTCTGGTGTATACAAGTGGGGCCAAGAGGGCACGGCTCCTCAAGCTAAGAGCTGCATGATAGGGTGAGTCATACCAAAATGAGGGGGGGGGGACAGCCAAATGCACCCTTGACAATTACATGTGGAGATCATGAGCAGCCGTGCATCAGCGGTTTTTCCAATTTGACCTTCTCGGTAAACACTCGTTCTGAATATTTGAAACTAATAATGGAAGAAGTGGTTTGTGAGTTATTAATTTCCCTCTCATGTCCAGACAGTGAGCTCATACAAAGGAGAATACATCGGATTAAACGTATCAGAAACTCCTTCAAGCCTTCATTTTATTTAGCATTTTGCTTTTTTTGTTTATATTTCAGGGATGATGCTTATCTATGAACAGGGGGAAGACAGTAAGAGGCAAAATTCAAATAAATAATGATAAAATATATTCATACAAGGAAATTGTTGTGCATAAGTTGCAGTTTAAAATGAGAAAAAATTCAAATGAAAATATAATGCGAGTCATTTTGGTTAGCTATTGTTAAAGGCCTGTTAATACTAACTTATGGGAATCTTTATGCTACAGCAAACATAAAAAACATGTTATAAAAATCCTGTTTACTGTTGTAAAATGCACATACCGCACACTTTAGGCTGTGTACTGTATTAAAGCCTGATCATTTTGTAGCTGCTGTGTAAATGTATTCAGCGTTGTGTAAGAGCAGTAACAGTCAAGGTCGTGTTTCTGCGGCTGCTGGCTGATCTACATTTCCTCCAGCTGCAGCTGACTGCTGCCAGTAACCACGGCACAGCGCGACCTTCACTGTGTTATTGCTTAATTGAGTTCATACACCTGAGTGGGTGTGGGGGGGTCCCAGTGGAAAACAAACCCCAAACCTTGCAGACTTTAGTGCCTCTGAGCCACACAAGACCACCATTTTGCTTCTCTTTTATAAATATATAAAAATATTGCAGTTGGGATAAACTTTTGGTTAAAGCTTTGTCAGTGCTCTCGAGAGGACTAGCAGAGTTGCTTCTGTTACTGCGTCAGGTGACCGATTGGCTGCACTGCCAAAAGTCAGTGTGGTCCACTGAGTGAGTGATGCTGCCCTCCTACCTTCGGTCCGGAGTGGCCAGCCGTGGCCGGCCGTGGCCGGCCCCTAATTGGCCGTCTGGATGACAGAAGGGATCCTTCAAAGACGCATCCATCATGTCCTTCAGGAGCCGCAGAGCAGCAGGACACCGGCCAGGCGTTTATCTTCCGCTGAAGGAGGAGTGAGGAACTGAAAATGTAGAAACAAAGACCTTCACTATTGTACTGCATTGAGAATGAACCAGTGCTAATGTAAAAATTGACATTTTTGTTGAAATGTTGACCCTGTAAGTCAGGACAATTAGCTTAAAGAGGCTAAGCAGCTTCAGAGAGCTATAAAGCTGTCCGTTTGTCAGTACAGCCCCAGAGTAGCTTTATGACTCAATATTTCTATTGAAATATTCATTTTTTAAACCTCCTGTTGTGTTATGTTAATACGTTTTTTGTTCTTGTTTGTGACGAAGGTAATTGTAAATGACCTTTAATATGTTTAACCTTTTGTAGAGGTGGTTATATTTGTGTGCCGATGTTTTCCTGTGGTAAAGTTTTAGTTTTGTACTTTTATTTTGATAGTTATAAGATCCGGACTTTTATTTTGAAGGGACTTTTGCCGGAAGTGAATAGAGAATGTAGGATTATAAACACGTGTAATGACGGATGAATGACGGAGAAATTAACTTCAGATAATTAGTTACGTTAGGTTTTTAGCACCTGGCTGATAGGGGCACAAGGTTTGTTATTACTTTAAATAATATGTGTATTCATATTATGTGGTGTTATTTCGTAGTTTTGCAGAGTTTTGAGTTCACGCTTTTGTATTAGCAAAACTGCTATATAAGGAATGGAGATGTTTTATCTGTGAGATGGTGGCTAATTATTGTGTTTTCTTTCTTTTCTTAGCTCTTATGTTGGTACTTGACAATTAATGTATACATGCAAGTGTGTACAATAAAAGGATACCATCAGTTTGAGAGTTAGACCATTATTCAGCTGGGGACGCTACAGTAAGAGCTTCACCTCATATATTTGTATTATATTTATAATAACACTTTTTCCTTATCAGAATGAAATCCCATGTACATTATGTAAGCTTTTAAACATTTAAAAGCTTACATAATGTACATGGGATTTCATTCTGATAAGGAAAAAGTGTTATTATAAATATAATACAAATATATGAGGTGAAGCTCTTACTGTAGCGNGGACAGAGGGTGTCGTTTTCTCATACTGATATTCTGCACAAACTGTGCTGTTGTTTTTGCTGTAAAGTGTCTTTACTGTAGGGTATTTTTATTATATGTACAGCACTTTGGCTCGACCAAAAATCGTTTAAAAATGTGCTATATAAATAAAACTTGATTTGATTTGTTGTCTAAATGGAGATCGGCTAAGCTAACGCAATATAGGCTATATGCTCCGACCGTCCACACTCACAACGGCCTATACAGACATTAATAAACCAGCGACTGTATTCGCCATGACACAGACAGTCAGTGGTTTGTACTTGTTTAACTTTTGTCTAGTTTCTGAACAGATATGAGGAGCTTGAGTGCAAACAACTAACGGCTGAGGTTGTTTTTTCTGGGGTGCTCACGGGTGCTCATTGAAGATGATGTCACGGCTCCGCCTACACTGCGTTACTATAGTTACTATAGTTACTGCCCCAGCTCCTAAACTGTAATGGAAGCGCAGCATTAAAGTGAGCCGGGCCTAATAAGGCCTAACCAAACCGAGCGAGGCTGAGCGAGGCCTGCGGTGGAAATGCGCCATTAGTCTACTATGACACACCACAAAGATGTACAACTCAGCCAACCAATGTCCTAAAGGGAGTCAACAAGCTATACTTTATCCACACTTACCAACATACATGACGGTGCCAAGCTTTGTCGGTTGCCCTGAGACCTGCACTTGGCATCTGCTGCCAACAGAAATAGCATCAGCAGCAGCTTTCTGCTCCTCCTCCCGAGCAGCAAGGTCAGCTTTCTTCTTGGCCATTTCTTCCTCGTTATAGACACCAACCCGATGTTTCTTCATGAATGACCTTGCTGAATCTGAAGGAAGAAATTCGATTGTAAGAACAGACTACTTCAAATTATGGATTTACCATATTTCAGTGGTGAGCATACTAACACCACTATCTCTAAATAATAAAAGCTGTGATGGAGGTATTGTTGCTTCTTTTTTTTTTTTATCTATGGCTGCAGCTATAAATGGGTTTCATTCTTAAGTGCTTTATCAATAGTTGGCTGGAACCACTAAATGAATAGACAATGGTTAATTTCAGAAGATTGACATATTTAACAACAAATCAATTCTGCCAAGATAAGCTTTGCTAAGCGTTGCTGTTGCGTAAGCCACAATTGAGCACAAAATTGGGGGAAATATATTGTATTTGAAAAAAATAGTTAATTCTATGATAATGACAAAGTAAAGAGATGCTTAAATATGTAGACTGTACCTGTTCTCTTTTCATAAGACTCCTCTGGGATTTCAAACTTCTCCACCTTGGAAACATCACTGAACTCGCTCATCTGACCACTTCTATCGGTAACCTGTGATTCAAGATTAAAAACAGACACTAATTAAAGAAAAAAGACCACAGGTATTTTTGCATGTGTGAGCCATTAACTGTAAAACACTTAAGCTTATAACAAGCAACTTAACAATGACATCATTTTTATTTTCCTATTGACAGAATTAATGTATTGTGAAATATAAATGTAGATTTGAGCGGTCACTGTTTTAGAAACTCGCACTTGTTGGTAAACTTAAAGGTAGGGTATGTAAGTTTGAGAAACCGGCTCGAGATTGCTAGAATTTGAAAATACACAC